CGCTCTCCGTTCCGGGTACCGGCCGGCCCGGCAAGTGAATGAGGCGCTTCGCTCGCTCCGCTCGGACATGTCGGCCGGCCGGTGAATACGATCGGAGCGGCCGGAACGGACGGACAGCGCTTTGGAGCCCTCGCAGAGGCCCGCAGAGGCCCGCAGAGGCCGGGGGAGAGGCCCCTTCGGACTCATTGATTCGGGGAAAAGCGTCTGCTTTTCAGGACACAATCCCAACCAAAACATACACGGGCGGGGCGGGGCGGGGCGACATCGGACATCGGGGACCCTCAGGGACCGTGCGCGAAATGCACGTTGAAATGTGCTCCAGTTGAAATAATAGGCGCGCTGAATAGGTCCGATTCCCTTTTGTTGACGCGGCGACGCGGTGGCGACGCTGAGATGATGGTTTCGGGGAATGCTCCACTTTGTCTCAGGTAAAGCGCCAGGGGTCTCACCGCGACATTTTTTTCGTACATCATAGGCGGAGCTGGCGGAGCCGGTACGCAGCAAAACAGTCTGTAAAATTATACATGTTTTAAGTTTCAGTTTTCAAACATTTGCTGTAATACATTTGCGAAAGGGATGCAGTCCGCTCAATTTCGTCGAGTCTCACTCCCGGAGCGTGCGCGAATAAATCCGAACACTCTGTCTCTCTCTCGCACTCGTGGGGCGTGCCGCATGCGGGTGTGAGAGAGATAGACCGCCGCGCGCCGCGGAGCGTGAAAGCAACTCTGTCGTTGTGAGTTCGTATTTTTCCGCCTTCCCCGCGGCCTCTTGGTTGTTGTGGCGGAGTGAGTCGGCCGGCCCGGGCGTGCCCCGGGCAATGTCCGCGTGCCGTGCGGATTCTCGTTGACGCCCCATTGACGGCGGCGTCGTCGGGGTGCTCCGGGCCTCCGGGGCTCCGGGCTCAGCGCCTGCAGGAATTAGGCCAGGCCGTGTAAGCTCCGCGCCTTACCGTCGCCACGGCGATTATGTTGGCGACACTGCCGTTTTTCTTTTCTTTTTTTCTGTCTCTCCCCCGCCTCGTTGATCCCTTGCTGTGTGCGGTTGGTTTTCCCCGCCTGCGCGCGTTTCGGCGGTCGACGTCGCCGTCGTCGCCGCCTTCCGCTGGGACTGCCCCCCACACCCACGCGACATGTGCGCGGAGCTAACGCGGAGCCACCACAATGTGAATTGCATTTAAGAAGACATTAGCCGAGGCGGCGCCGGAACGTGTTCTGGTCTGAAAAAGACCAAATTGCGGAATGGCGAATGGCGGCGGGGGCACTGCGCTAGCCGCGGCGAGGCTGATTCTCTTGTCTCTCTCCCACCTGTGCGGGACGCCCCATGAGTGCGAGAGAGACACAGCAGGGCAGAATTAATCAAGACGTTACGTTAGGCGCGCGACCGGCGTCACGCGGCAAGTCATGGATGACGCGGCGCACGACGGCGACGCCCCGGCGGCCCCACGCCGCCATGGCGCATGCATGGCGCGCCACCCCCAGCAGCCGCGGCACTGCCACGCCACTGCAGCCCACTCCACTGCCAACCGGCCGTGACGCCTCGCGCCGTCGCCCCACCGGGCACTGCGCTGTGCGTAAGCGATATGTGGGTGTCACCTCGCCCACCCTTCACACTGAGTCCCCGGCGTGGCGCGGCGTGGACCGCGGCGTGGACCGCGGCGTGGACCGCGGCGTGGACCGCGGCGGTCCGGCAGGGCTCCGTCTCTGTCGCACTCACGGGCCGCTCTCTAGGGGTCCGAGAGGGACAGTGAGGGGAGGGAAAGGGGGCCGAGGCGGCGGCGCGCGAAACTCGATCGTCCTATCGATGTATCGATGCATCGCTGTGGGCCCTCCGGGTCGCGGTCGGCGACACACTGTACTGCATCAGGCTGCCCGTCGGCGGCGACGCGGTTCCCAACCTGTCTTCGGCCTTTCGGCGCACTCGGTGCCGGGTCTAGGTTGGGCCGGGCGAGGCTGCGTGTGTGTTTGTTCGTGTGTGTGTGTGCATTGTGTGCTGAAGTGTGCAGCGCGCTTCTTTGAAACACGTCGCCACTCTCGGATCGTACCTGGAACGGCCCGGTCCGCTGGGGGTACGCCGTAAGTCCGCCGCGGCCTGCACGGCCTGGACGGACGGACCTGCGGCCGCGGGGAGGAACGAAGCGAAAACAAACACGCCCTTCCCTGGACGACGCGTCGGGGCGTGGCAGCCCGTGGCAGCATGTCGCCGTCCCTCTCGCACTCGCGGGGCGTCCCGTAGCGGTGCGAGAGGGACAGCGCGTGTTCGGACGCGGCCTCCGGCGCGGGGGCGTCGTCGGGACACCTGCCACACTGAGTCCCCTCGGCCGAGCCCGGCCCAAGGCGCGGCCCTTTGGAACCCCTTGGCCAAGGCGGGCCGAGGCTTGGCAGGCAGGCTCTCTCCCTCACACCCCAACAATTTGTCGGACCACGCCCCCTGCTGGCCACCGCGCCGCGCCGCGCCACCACTACCCTCGCGTCGATTATCTCAATTTGGTGGGCCCTCTGCGCCCGAAAAGAGAGGTTCGGATGAAAAATACACTTTATGTCAAATTAGTTGTAAATAGTCTGGCACTCGAGTCGGGCACCAGTGCGGTGGCTGGCCGTCGGGCGCCTCCCTGGCTTGCTGCCGGAAATTAAAAGGTGTCCGTCCGTTCGCCCGTCTGTCTGTCTGTCTGCGGTCGGACGGGGCGCGTGTGGGCGCCACAGCAGCTCGGCGTGCTCGTGGAGACATATTGTTCGGCGAGATGATCCCCCCTCCCCCTCGGCGTGGTTCCCCGCGGCGCCTGGCTGCAAAGCCTGCAAAGCCTGGCCGACCGCCAGCGAGCCGCCGCCACACTGCCACCGTCCGCGGTGCCCGCGCAGCAAATTGGTGGCTTTTCTCGCGAGGTGCTTCCCCCTCCACCACTTTTTCCTCACCTCCCCTGCGGCAAATGTCGCGGAAAGCCGGTAAATGAATCCAACTCTCGCGGCGCCGTCGTGAATCACGGGGCAGTTTGAGTGCGCGGCGCGTGTCCTCGTTTTGTTGTTGTTTTTGGCGAGTGGCAGCGAAAATGCGGCGAATCTGGAGCATTCGGACCACGCTGCCTCCGCGGTCCAGCGCTCCAGTCCGGCGGCCCGGCCCGCCCTACCCAGCACGTGTAAAAAGGAACGCACAAAAGAGGCCCCGTCGGGGCCCTCTGATTTATTCAGGCCCGGAGCGCTGCCCGGAGTACCCGGTGGTGGTACCCCTGGTACCCGGAGCACCCACGCCGTGCTGGTGGCCGCCCGGAGGACCGCGCCGGCCCGGGGCCTCCGGGGGAGGGGGGCAGGGGGGGCTTCTTTTCGGAAGTTGGGTGGAGCAGTACGTGGAACTTACTGTGAAGGAGTTGGGGCGTGGCGGGGGCTGGCGGGGGAGGGGGGGGGACGCGGAGGGGGAGGTCCGGGTCGGGATGGAACAATAGCGTTACTCGGTTTGCTCGGGGCCTTACGCCTGCGCGTGTGTGTGTCCGTGTGAGAGTGTGCGTCGGAATGCAGGAGCGCCTCCAGTCAATGAAGTGGAGTGTCATTTGGTTGTCCGGCGGGGCCGGCGGGGCGGGCGGGGCGCTGGCCTGCGAGCAGCGCGAGGTGAGTCACTGCACGCACGCGGTGCGCGTCGCGGCCTTGCTCGAGTCTGCCGGCGTCGTGGTCGTCGTCGCGGTGCTCGAGCGCCACTGGCGCCGGTCCCGTTGCGTCCGCCCGGCGTCCGCCCGGCGTGCCCTGCCCCCCTCCCCGGTGATTGCTCGTCTCGCCGTCTGCAATATGCTCCACTTCTAGGCCCTCCCCGGTTTTCCTTTTTATCGGCTGGCTGGAGCCCGCTGGTGCCGGTGTGTGATATTAGCTGTAATGACGGTCTGAAAGGGTTGCTGCGCTGCCGGCCGCTGCGGCTCCCCGGCCGGCCCGGCCAGCCCGGCGCCCAGTGCGGGGATTGGCCTATTAATTCGCAGTGTGCACGACCAGCCACTTGCGTCCCATCGCCGTCTCAGTCTCACCTGGCCGACAAGGTGCACTAAAAAAATATTTTAATTTTTTTTTTCGAGTCGGCTTGGTACTTGAGTTTAACTCAGTGCCCTGTGGCGTGCGTGCGGCCCGGGGGCACGGCGCGTCGCGTCTCCTGCTCCAAGGGTATCATCGCCTGCTCGCGGAGCACGCGGAGCAGAGCGTGGACTGGGTGTCAACGCCTGCAGTGATTTACGGGGCAGTGAGGTAATGACCGCGGCCGAGTGGCACCGCACCGCACGGGCCGGGCATCACCGCCGCAGACATCTCAATTAGTTGACCACAAACTATCCGGCCGCCGCGTGCCCGGGTTCCCGGGTTCGAGTCCCGCCGGATGCCGAGCCGCGTTTCTCGCCCCCTTTTTTTCCGAGCCGTTTTAGTGACCCCCTTGGGGCAATCAAGAGCCAATCACTTAGGCAGTCTCCCTGCTGTTGCGGTTTGGCCGGGTTGGCCCGCGCGAGCTTTGTGGCCCCAGCATTGTTGTTGATGGGGCTGCGGCCACCTGACGCCTGCCTGACGTCTGCTGCAGTCCGTCTCCCTCGCACTCGTGGGGCGCCCCGTGTGGGTGCGAGAGAGACAGCGACTGCTGCGTGCGCCCCGGGCTGCGCTGGCCACCCCGGCCCCCTTTCAGCACCTACTTACCTACTAATATCTTGTTTGAGGTGACGACGCGGTGGTTGAGGTGGTGGGCGTGGTATGGCTTCCTGTGTGTGCTGTTCCCTTAACCACAATAACAAACAACTGCATGTGTGCTTTTCTGCTCCGACTGACTGAATGTCTACTCCAGTGGCACGGAATCCTATCTCATTCATTCGCGTGAAACGCCTGCTTCCTGCGCGTCCGTCGCGTATTGATCCAGTTCCGTGACGATAATGGTGGCGAATGGCCGTTTTCAGCGGAAAAACCCCCCACATTATTACTTTTATTCCCTTTTTAATGCCTCCCCTTTTCCTCCTTGTTGTTGTTTCTTACCTTGTTGTCCTTGTTGCGCAGAGGGGCGGGAGTGCGTCAACTGCGGCGCGACGTCGACGCCGCTGTGGCGCCGCGACGGCACGGGGCACTACCTCTGCAACGCCTGCGGACTCTACTACAAGATGAACGGCCAGAACCGGCCGCTCATCAAACCCAAGCGTCGCCTGGTGAGTTGCTAAACTTTCATTTTCTCTCTCGCTCTTCAGGATCTGTCCAGGGAAGGTGCACCGAGGATCCCGCACGCGATGGGCTTTCGGATAGTGCATCCCCGCGCAGCTGTGCACATCTGCAGGGGAAAAAATTTGAGCAGAAAAAAAGGGGGGGTCCTTGTCGCGCGCTGATGTGTTACATCGGAGCACTATCGCTCTTCGACGTCTCGCTGATCAACACACACACACACACACACACACAGAGCGAGCGGCGGCAAATACAAATGTCACAGTCATTACCCTCCCCTCCCTGCTCACCAGCCAAACAAACCAATATGGTGGCCGCCAGCGGGCCGTCCGCTCTGTCTCTCTCGCACCCGCGGAGGGGGTCCGCGGGTCCCGCGGGGGGTGCGAGAGAGACAGAGCGATACCGCGGCGGCATCGGGGAGGAAAAATAGGCGCGGCCAAATCTGTTAGCCGTCGTGTCGGAGACTCGGCAGCGCTCGGGAGGCTGAGGGTGTGTCATTAGGGGAGACGGGGAAAATCGGACGATAAGCATCTAGCAGCGACTGCGATTGAATTGGCGAGGGAGTGAGAGAGAGAGGCGAGCCAAGGACCCGTTGACACATTGTACGCGTCGGGCCCGGTTAGGGCGAGTGAGGCCGAAGCGCGAAGCAAAACGTGTTTGAGCTTTTGGACTCCGCCACCGCGCGGGGCCAGGCGGCAGCACTGCAGCAGCAGGGGAGGAATCGGCGCGCAGGGGAGCATGAAAGTGGTCGGTAAAGAGTGGCGGAGGAAATCGGAGTGGGGATTACGGTGTAGCGGGCTGTAGCGGGGTTGTAGCGAACATCGCATGAATTTAGATGTCAGCCTCTGTGTGTGCGTGTGCGTCAAAAAAAGGGGAGTGGGTGAATCTGAGCGCGCGGGAAAGCGTGGCCAATGAGCAGCTGCTTCTTATTTGCAAAGCTTTGCTCGCTTCTCGCCCGAGAATGGCTCAATTTTTCCGCGAGGCTTGGCTCACGCAAAGTACTGTACTGTAGCGCAGCGTTTTGTCAACACTCAAGTGGCGCACGGGGCACCTGCTTATGGGCGGGGCGGGCCGAGGCACCCACGACAGCGCCGGTTTTGTCTGCATGTAAAGACGGCGCTGGTTATAGACAGATGCTAAGCAAGGGGGCAGGGCCCGGCAGGCCAGGCAGGGCCACCACGCCACAATGGCATCAGCGGCAGTCGCTGCTTGGAAAAGAAAAAAAAATAAAACGTGATAGAAAGAAGGCAGCCCAAATTGTTTTGCTATTGTGGCGAGGCGACGCTCCGGGCTCCACCCTCCTAGAACGCCACCACGGTGAGAGGGGTGGGGGAGGCGCGCCTTATGGGCAGCGAGGCGGGCGCCGCGAAGTCGCCAAAGTTTGGCGCGGAATGTGTCTTTCCTTTCCGCGTCATCAGTGCCGCCATCTTGGAGGCCGAGGCCCTCGAGGGGCGCCTAGCCTCGCTGCAGGCTGAGAGCCGTCTCTCTCGCACTCACAGGGAACGCCCGGGAGTGCGAGAGAGACGGAAGCGATTCTGCTGCGCGCGGCGAGCCCATTCAGCGGATGAGCGGGGTGGTAAAAGGGTGCGAAAGGATTGGAGGGAAGGCGTCGCATCGTCATTAGAAAGAGAGAGAGGGGCGCCTCGCCCTCCCTTGCTCCTTCTTCTCGTTGGAAGTAATGCCACTCATTTTCTCAGCTTTCAATTACCGTAATGCTCTTCGGTGGCGCCTCGCCCGCCTGGTGGTGCGGAGGGGGCGGGAAAGGGGGGGGGGGAGAGACACGGCGCCGCGTCCGACCGGTCGGATCGGTTCGCAGTCCGCGATATAAAAAGAAATGATAAGGCTAAAACGTGATCATTGACACGGTGTATGCCGACCGGCCAACACCATTTCTTTTTCCACCCCAACGCGCGCCGCGCCGCTCGGGATTCTTTTCATCTGTTTGTACAAATCGCGGAGCAAGGCCGTTGGTGATAGCGAGCCGTAATTCGGTGACACTGGAAACGAAAATCAAGGTGAAAGTCCTGAGTGTGTGTGTGCGTCATCTCCCTGCGCTGGACTCGCGGAGAAACGAGAGACCAGTACCAGTGCGGTACCAGTGCATCGCCGTGGCCGTGCACTGCTTGGCCGTGGCGTGCGTTGTAGAGCGGGGAGAAAAAATGCGCGGTGCAGCGAAATGAGAGGTGCATCTGCGTGGCGCGCGCCCGTTCTTTTTTCATTATTTTTATTTTATGGGCTGCATGCTGGACATGCACTATGGGCTGCTGGGCTATCGCTGGCTATCGCTGCGCGCTGCGCCGCCGCCGCTGCAGCGGGAAAGTGCAGTGCGGTGCGGTGCAGTGCGGCGACTTTGCTTGCATTTCGCGCCGCCACTTTCCAAAAGCGGCCTGTGTCCGCGGCGGGGCAGGCTGGGCTGGCCGTGGCCGTCGCCAAGGGGCGAAGACAGCCGACAACACTTTGTTTTGTTGCCCCCAAGGCAAGTGTCTCTGGCGCCAAACTGCAATGTGGAGCTCGCGGATGGATGGGTTCGAGAAATCGAAGTCGCTGGCGTGTGTCGCCGACTTCGACCTCTCGACGCGTTCCCACGCGGCGAACAAAGACAGCCAATCACGGGGCTGCCGCGCAGCCTGCTGGCGAGGCAGAGGCTTCCAGCGCTTCCAGCCCGCCGAAACTTTGTTGGGCGACTGTACGCGGCGCGGCCGGCGCGGGCACCATCGGGTACCACCAAGGTACCCGGCAGACGACCATTAGACAATCGCCAACACACTAACGACAACAATGGGGCCGATCTCTGCCTGGTGGTCCTCGGATCAGCAGCGAACGGAGGGGAGGGAGAGAGAGAGGATGATTTTTCTCCTCTCCGCCTTGTGCCCCGTCCGCCTCGCCGCGTCGTCGGCCCCGCTCGCTCCTGCGTCCCTTGCCCCCTCTCTCCTCTCTCCCTTGTTTTTGATCGGATAGTCGTTTGCTCGATCAAGTCCCGTGCCGGGCTGCGGGCTCTGCGGGGCTCGGCTTGCCTGCCAGGCGGCCAACGTGTCCCAATCAAGATGGCGAAATTTCCCGGAAGCAGCGCATGCGGCCGCGAGTTCGATGAGCCGTGCAGTGCGCCCGCCGTGCAGGGCACCCGCCGATCCCCGCGGTGATGGAGGATCACCTCCGAGACGCCGACCACGGAGACCGGAGACCACGGACATTGCCGATGAAAGCGAGTCCGCGAGGGTCAGTGTCTGACCGGCGCCCGGTTGGGCTGTGGACCTGTTGGCCTGTTGGCACCTGGAGCAGGCTGGGACTGTACTGGTCAGCGCGGCACGGCGCGGCCGGCCGGCCACGGCAGCATTCTTGTTAAGCACATGTTCCCTTATCTGCTGCTGCGTGGTGCGCGCGGCTCGCCGAATTAGCTGTGTGCATTCTTACGCCGCCATTGCGGCGAACAGGCTCGGCGGCAAAGTAGTACGACGACACACACACACACACACACACACACACACACACACACACACAAGAGGACTCCAACACAGATAGGCCGAGACGAAACAAAAGAGCTTCTCTCCTTCGTCTTTGTCTTCATTGATAATTTTCGTCTTCTTCCTGAAGTCGCTCTTTCCGCTGGAACAAAGTCCGTTTCCGCCAAAACGAGACCCCTCGTCTTGGCCGTATAACGACCACGCGGTCCCGGTGGCTCGTTTAACGTCCGGCTCTTGATGGAAGCCAGTCGTAATCGCCAACATAGTTTGACGCCCGGCCCGCGCTCGTAATGGCATTATGAATAAATCTAATTTATTTTTGCGCGCCGCGTGTGAGCACGCGGTTTTAATTTGAAGAAAAGCAACAACAAAACGACAACGAGCATGCATCGTCAGGGGACTGCTTTGCTTGCCTCAGCCACTTAAGGCCGGGTGATACTAACCGGAGAAAAAACAACATCAGCAACAGTTTCCCGATTTGTATTGAGTGTTCACGCATTCAAGCATGCACACACACACACGAAGTGACGATGTTGGTACCCCATTCATCGCCACGTGATTACACACGTCTTTCCTTTTTCTCTCGTTATTTTTTAACTGTGCTGCTGCTGCCCTAATTAACCACCGTGGAGTCGATAACTCGTCCGGGAGGCTGCTGCAGCCTAGCCGAGGCCAAGCAGTGCCTGGCAGTGCCTGGCAGAGCCCCTAGAGTCGAGCCACGTCCATCGGCCCAATCACTGCCGCGGTAAACACACACTCGGGTTGCCTAACTGCAAGGCACGGCACGGCAGGGCACGGCATGCACCACCCCCGTCATTATGAGCTTTATGAAAAGTACACAAGGAAGCGTGGCGTGGCGTGCCGTGCGCAAGGGAAGTACCACACTCCTCGGCCGGGACGTAATTCCATAATATCCGTCATTGATTACCTCGCTCGGGACGGAGTACTACTCACAGTGTACAGTCACTGCGGCCACTGCAGGGCGAGGCATGGGACTTCCCTCCGCGCTTTTTGGCGTGCGCTGTGCGGGGGACGACGCCCTTCTGTCTGCCTGTCTGTTTGTCTCATTAGTCTGCGATAAGTGGTACTGTATGACAGAGCTGCAGCGCGCTTTTCAAAGTTCCCATCGTCGTCCTGCTCCTCCTCGTCATCGAGGTGCCTCCCGCAGTGGTCACTCCCAGCCCATTTCCGCTCCGGGGCCTGCCTGCCGGCCTGCCTGCTCGGGGCTCTCGGTCAGCATGCGGCCGGCGGGCAGACGGTCACGTAGCCTCTGTTTGCCGGGATAATGGTGATAAAGCACCAATCACGCGATACACACTGTAACTCACACAGACGCACTCACACACACGCACGACTGGCTCGTCAATGAGCTGGCCGTGCTGGCTGGGAGTGTACGCCGAGGAGGGCGTCCTCCTGGCTGCACGGGTCGCTTTCGTCGTCGTTTCTCGGAATCGGGACCGCGATGCCCCCCAAGCCCCCTCCTCCTCATCTCTCTTGTCCTGCAGCTGGACGCCGAGCTGGGCGTAACT